TGGCTACAACGTTGATGACAAAAGTAACAGCAATATTCAGTATCTCACCAACACTACCAACAAATGCAAAGGAACAGGTGATCGTGTTTTTATATTTCCTAAAGAGTGCAATCGTAGCAGTATGTGTGTATATATAGTTTTTTTTTTCCTTGGCAGCTCACAACCCTTAAATCTATAGCTTTGAATAAAGATTCTTTAAATATATTTCTCCGCGCTCAATGTGTCGGTGGAAATAGATTTCTTTCCTTTTCCATTACAACAGAAATGCATTTATCCTCTTGTCTTCCCTGGGCACATAAAAAGCACACGACGTTTTAGTTTGTTTGTTTGCTTTTTTACACTTTCCAACAAACTTTAGAACAAATTCTACTACATATTCCAATACAACGGAAACTCGGCCAAAACCATCGCACTTTTTTTCCTGTCTTCGATTTTCCTGTTTAAACCAGTTTTCCTGTTAGACTTGGTGCTGTAGGCACATGATAGTATATATCGTATATAAGTGCATAGACTGCAACACCACGCAAAAATGCAAAAGACACTTAATATATCTAACGTGATGATGTTGTGCTTCTCTTTCGGTATTAAACGATTACAGATTATCTCATCAAATTGAAGCAGCTCAATGTTGACGATGAAGATTCTCTGCAGGTAAGAAACTATTAATACGCTCTAAAACCTTCGGGATTGTTTCCATCATCGGTCGTATTGTTGACCAGTCACACCATTTTGTTTTCCAAACCCTGATATTGCAACACGGATAAGGTTTATTACGTCAAAAACAATGGTTTTTCACCAAGTAATGATGTGTTTCAGTGAATTCAAGGGCGTGGGGTAACGCTGTGAAGCATAAACATGTTATTTAGGGGTGGGTGATATCTTTTCCTATTCGTAATTTAAGGGAGCTGCAGCAAAACCACTCCAGCATCGCCAAAGAGAACCTTTATACAAAAAAATATTTATCGAACAGAACAATTTGCGCGTACTTTATCCGGGTATACTAGATGTTTAATACCAAACAATGCGAAATGACCAAATTTCGCCCGTTTTGGACAAAGTAATGTTTTACAACGTTAAAAAACTGTTAATCAATCTCCGATCGTTACATTCGCATAAAGAAAAAGAATAACAGAATAAACTATTTATACCTAAATTTAAACGAAAACAGAGTGGTTTCAATAACAAAGGAAAAAAAACTACCACCAATGCTTAGCTTGATTAACTATTCCTGTGAAGAACTGTGCATTCATTAAAGTTCAAATGGCAACTATATGGACTTTCATAACAACAACACAAAGTGCATCTCAGCGCTGGCTTATTATCCGTATTCCTTTCAGGAACTGAACTCGGTAATTACATATTAACCAAGGTATCAAAGCGATAGGCGCAGTTAACAGGTCTAGGTGACTGCGAAACTCGAAGGTAAAATTTCAATTCAAGTTTAACTAGGTGTCGTCCTTGCCGTCACCGTCGCCATTGCTAAGCTCCCTGATATTTAAATCGGGGACAAACTTAGTCTAATGGCCTACTAGGTTAAACTGATTTTTAATCTACCTTAATAGTGGGTTCTATGCTTTTAGATTGCCGTGAATGAAACTTCAAGGCTACTTACACATTCCAATAACAGTTCCTATCACGAAACGGCGACCAA